GAGAGAAAAGGGTAGAGGTCGATAGAGAGAAAATAAGAAATAGAAATATATGAATATAACAGAAATTAAAACACTATCAAGCATATTAAAAACAACGAAAAGTAACACCCCCCAGAAAATGATAATAAAAAGGTAATAAATAGAATAAATAGAAATAAAGAGAATAAACTAGCGTCGTATAACAAGCATATATCACAATAACAGATAAGATCATAAACAAAAATAATATAGAAATAAATCACCTGATAAAAGATAACAGACTTATAATATTTTCGAAATAATAGATTCGATAATAGCAAAACAGGATGATAACCAAAGCGAAAATTTTGATAAAATCGACATAATCGTCTAGTACAATATAAAAACACCGAAAAAAAGGAAAAAGGAAAGTAAAAGTTAAAAGAAAAAAGGGAGGTCATGAGGAAGATGAAAAAGATGAAGATAAAAAAAAACAAGAAAAGAAAAGTAAAAGTTAAAAGAATAAGAAAAGGAAGAAGGGAAGAGGGAGAGGAAGACGAAAAAGACGAAAAAAAAACAAGAAAAAGAAAAATAGAAGTTAATAGAAGAAGAAAAAGAGGAAGGGAAGAGGGTCTAAAATATTTCGTCTTTCGGAAGACGAAAAAGACGAACAAAACAAGAGAAAAGGGAAGTAAAAGTCTAAAGAAGAAAAAGAAGGATAAGCGGGAGAGTAAGAAAAAAAAGACGACGAAGAAGAGAAAAATAAGAACAATGACAAAAGAAAGATAAAAAAGATTAAGCCGGATCCTGTTCGGCATCGAAGGTCACGTCAAAATACGACTTCACGTTCAAGGTCAGGCCGGCGACCCAGGGGGGGGGGGGCGGTCGCACGAACGGCGCGGGGTGGCTTACCCCCTCGCCCGCCGTTCCCTCTAGGCTCTTACCCCACCCCCCCTCCTCCCTTCTTTTTTTCTCTCGCTGTTGCTGTGTGTATCTTTCTTTTTCTTGTATTTTGTTGTTCTCGTTTATTCTTTTCCCGTCTCCTCCTCTCCCACTTCCTCTCTCTTTCCTTTAAACTCAACACCTTTCCCCTTCTCATCTCCTCTCTTCCACTTTCCCACTCGCCCTTCCTCTCCATTCCTCCTTCCCCTCTCTCACCCTTACTTCCCCTTCCCCTTCTCTCTCCCAGTTCCCCTCTCCCATTTCCTTCCCCTTCCCCCTCTCCTCCCATTCCCTTCTCATTCTCTTCTCTTCCTCTCCCTCTTATCCCTTTTTCCTCTCTCCCTCCCCTCTTTTCCTCTTCCCCTCTCTTCCTACCCCTTCTTCTCCTCTTTCCCTCACCCCTCTTTCGCTTCTCAGCCTTGAACTTGAATCTTGAGTCTGACCTGAGTTCGAAGGTGAAGGAGGAGCGACGAAGGGTAAATAAAAGTGATGAGGATAATAAAGACAATGATAATAAAAATAAAAATAATAACAGTGATAATGATGATAATAATAATGATAGTAATGATGATGATGATAATGATAATGATGATAATAATGATAATGACGATGATAATGATAATGACGATGATAATGATAATAGTGGTGATGATTATATTACTAATATTGATATTAGATATAACAGGAACATGATGATGATGAACAGAAATTATAGGTAACTAGAAACTAAATACACGCAAAACAAGATAGAAAAAATAATAATGGCATTGAAAACAAAGGACACACACACACACCACACACACACACACACACACACACACACACACAACACACACACACACACACACACACACACACACACAACACACACAACACACACACACACACACACACACACACACACACACACACACACACACACACACACACACAAAAAATAAATAAATAGAAATAAATAAAGTGAAGTAATAATAGATAAATAAATAAAAGACAAATACAATTTAAACATAAAAGAAACAACAAATACATACTTGCACTTGGACAAATAAAATTAATAGAAATTCAGCGTCTGTCTTAAAACCATTCAGGTGGAACGTCATCTGCAAGAAAATGTCGTCAGTGCAAAATATAGATAAATAGATAGAATGATAAAAAGGGGAGAGAGAGAAAGAAAGAAAAGAGAGATGGGCGGGAGAGGGAGGGAGAAAGGGAGAAAGAGAAAAAAATAGAGGGAGGGAGAAAGAGAAAAAAATGAGAGGGAGAGATTCAGAGAGAAGGCGAGGAAGAGAGGTTAAAAGAAAAAAATTAAAAACAAAACGAAAAGTAGATAAATAACAAAAAGCCCAAACGAAAAGGCAGACAAACAGACATAGACAGATAGACAGACACACACACACTACAACAAGAGTAAGAATAAGTAAAAAACAGAAACAAAAAACGTCCATCCAAAGACAAGCAAATTTGCGCTCAGTTCCTTAATGATTTCATCCCCGCCAAATATGGTCACGAAACATGACGTCGTCAGCTGTTAGGAAAAGCCCGCGAAAAATTTTGGCGCGTGTTCGATGTTCTTGCGGGAGAATTATCGATTTTTTTTGTC